GTTTCCCTCGAGACAGCGGACGCAACGGCGGCACGGCACACCCGGCTCCATGGCCACTTCGTCACCTACTTTGAGAGACTTGACGGCGGATCCCACGGCGTGGACGACGCCAGCAGACTCGTGGCCTAGCACCATGGGCTTGTCCACCACGTACTTGCCAATGCTGCCGTGCGTGTAGTAGTGCACATCACTACCACAGATTCCCGTGAAGTGGACGTTCACGATCACGTCAAGCGGGTCCTTGATCTCAGGCACAGGTCGGTCCTCGTACTTGACCACGTTTACCTTCTCGAGGACGAAGGAAAGATTCTGCTTCGAAGCGAGATTAAACAAGAGTCTGTTGGGATCATGATTGAGCAGAAACAGTTTACCTGAGCAGTCGTTGTCGATGGAGCCATTGCTCTTGAGGTGTTCTGGGGTACTGGTCGCTGGAGGAAGAATTGAAAAGTGAACTCTGGGAACGGACGCGATATCGTCAACTATGATTGGCACTATCTTCAACTTTCCCGATAGCTTCAACCACAATCACAGGCGCACCACGCGGTTGGTGGTGGAATCCCGTTCTACATAGTTACACCATGCAATACACGTCCAGTACTGCACCCCGTTTTCGCGGGGGTGGACCACATGGGATTTGCAAATAAATCATATTTAAGCGTACAAATCATCGTTCATTTGGATTCAGGATCATAACATCCTGAAGTTTATGAAAGGTCCGAGGGCGCGAAAACGGGGTGCAGTACTGTACCAGTGCCCACTCAGTGGGCCACTGGGGTGGGGCCCAACCGGCTGCGTGCGCAAGAGTCCTGCCAGGTCCATCAATAAATTCGTTTAAACAGAGCTGATAGATAGATGGTATAGGCTCCTGCGCGCGTTATCACCCTGGTCTTCAGCGTGATTGCCAGTCGTGTTTACAGGGAAGCACCCATATCTTGAGAGCGCGTACCCCCACCTGAACCCGGGCCTCAAATATATAAACCACGCTCAATCTTACTAAGGCGAACATTTTTAGCCTTCTTGTAATGTGATACCACTCCGATAAATCATTTTGGTTTAATGAGAAGGTTTAATTAACATCTACGAATCTTTCTGAAACGCTATTATTAATATATCATTAATTTCTCAAACAGTACTGTATAGGTGTCAATCCGCCCCGTGTAAACAATTCATTACAGTATTAGTCTGGCTGAGCTTTTGCTGCTATGAGTCGAGTTAACGGCGCTCGAGTTTACAAGTTGACAGGTTGACCTTCAACTCCCTGTAATGTGCTGGCTAGTAGCCAGTGGCTACATGAACCCAAACAAGCTCTAACTTGATTCATATTTTTTTTTACTGTTATTATGCTATTATACACGTACTGCTGTATCTTACAGCTATTGATACAGTTTGATCAGCGGGAGAATCTCAGAGGATATGATGATTACCAGCACGTCGACTTCCTATTCTGTGAGCGTCTTGGAAATTGCAACTGCAATACAGTACTTAGGTAAATTAGGAGGGGGCTGTCTTCTTTGTGGAAATTATTAGCTAAAACACATCTGAAGAGTAGCACAAAAACAAATTTCGGTATTCCCTTCAATCCATTGTTCGGATCTCAGTCGGCATGCCAAATGAAGCCATGTGTCTGGATTCGTAATTGCAATAATGGTTAATTTAAACATTAAATTTTAAATGCCGACATCGTCTGTCATCAATTAACTGAACGGTTTCAATATTACTAAATGAGTGAAGAATGCACTGTGAATTGTTTCGTGTCATTGCCTTTTACATGTACATGTACCATGCTGTACGTCTATCCAAAGTTTGGATTCCAAACACATCAGTTTGGTATCAAGCCCGCATAATCCTGAAGATACTTCAATGTGTTGACTACAGACTGGTCAATGTGCACGCGCACTACATTTTTACCGGTAGATGCCACTACGGCAGTACAGTACCGGTACATGTAGAATACGTTAAATGCATCTACAGAAGTCCCCCTCAACAATAGGTCAATCAAAGTGATCTTTTTAATTTTATTCTTTTAAACATTCCCTATGATCCGATATCAAGGGGTATATGAAGTGCAAGTAGCGATTAGTTAGTGGACTTCTGTACGGTACTGTAGCGTGCCTGCTGTACAAATTGCAACTTCATGTCCAGTACCGGTACTGTACATGCATTACTGTCTAGCAATCTAACTGCAACTCGCTTGTACACTTGTATACATGTTCAGTTTTATCATCAGAACAGACGAGGTCAGGCACAAATCACGCAGGAAGGCCAGTTAACTTCAACCTCCGAACTTCACTTTGCTGCAGCCTGCAGCATCAACGGCTTATCGAACAATACGCAATTGTGACTCGCTCCTTGACACCCCCATATCATGTTTAGCTGGCAATTAAGGTTTTAACTGCGTATCCATAAGAGAGTGTCAATCGAAACCGAGCCGGGTATTTTCGAGATTCCAAGACGAACTCATTCTTCATTTCTCCTTTACCGTCCAATTTACTCTACACCATGGCATCTGACACGGCTGAAACAATCGTCAGCGTCCTCGCGACCATCGCCACGGCCTGTATCTTTCTGAGTATGGTACCTGGTATTTGGGCTGCTCATAAGAAGAAAAGTATGGTGGGCATCAACTACTATCCACTCGCAATGATGTATGCCCAGTCCGCTCGTTGGGTTATCTACTCTTGGGCTGATGACTCCTTCTTCCCCGTGGGAGCCGTCAACTGCCTCGGTGTGCTGCTCGGTGCCCTCTTCTCGGGCGTCTGTATCTTCCACGAGACAAATTCCAGGGTACGCTACATCGCCTTTTTCCTTTTCGTCTTCGCCATCACGGTCGCTTTGGTCGTGTACCGATGCCAGAGCTCTCAAGACGACGACTATATCGCCAAAGTGCTAGGCTATTGTGCAGATGTCCTCGCCACTATCATGTTTGGATCACCGCTGTTGCAGCTTGGAGAGGTCGTTAACCCCTCCGTCACTAAGGCTTGATAAGGAAGCATGTGACATTTTCCACATGCTTGATAATCAAGCATGTGGGGATCGTCATAGAATGGGCGTTTAGTCCGTTTAGTCCCCAATGCACAGGGCTTGGGGTCCTAACTGTAAAGAGAAAGTTCCTTGGAGATACGCTGTCGTAAAGACAGTGCTTCAAACGAGAAGCCTCTGAGCCATCCATTCATTCTCCAAAACGAAACGCGGGACCAAGATGCCTCCCCGCCGCGTCACGCGCGCTGAAGTGGAGGCGTTCCTGCGTCGTCTCGACGGGAAGGAAGGCGCAGAACGCGCCCGGCTGCTTGAAGAGCACCGCGCGTATGTCGACGGTACGCGTGACCGCGATGCTGACTTTGGTGACGACGTTGCGGGTGAACCGCTTGTTTCAGCTCCCACGTCAGCAACGACAGGAATGCGGCCTAAGATGACAGTGGCCTCACGCAAGCCTCCTGCTCCAGCTACGTACCAGAAGAAGGGCGCACTAGTGGGGTACTACAATTTGCTGGCAAGAGCGCCGCGATTGAAAGGGAAGGCGCCAGTCGCAGCATTGCATGCAGAAGAGCTTGCTACCGATGCTGCTTCTGCTGATGAGGATGGGAGTGACAGCGGAGACAAAGATTACGTGGAAACAGGAGAAGACCAAGGAAATGACGACGTCGAGTTTGACATGGCGACAGCGCCAGAGATCACAACACCGAAGAAGGCGGCGAAGAAGAAAAGACCGGCAAAGGCGCCTGGCAAGGCCAAAGCAAAAGGTAAGCGTAAGCGTGCACCATCGAAGAGATCAAGAGCTGACAAATCTGCGCGTACAACGAGCCCACACGTTGCTGCTGGTGACGAAGCCGTCAGGTGAGGAGATTATGCGTTTTGCGTACGATGTGTATCTCACACTTCATGATTGTAGTTGTTTGTAGCGATGCGTCTGTTGGTGGGGATTTGGACTATAGCGAAACGTCGCCATCTCCGCCATGTGCAACAGACACAACGCAGGCAAATCGTGGAGCCATGTCGACATCGGAAGGTGCTTCCTCTGCGCAACAGACTTCACCGCTAACGCCACCTCGGTCTTCGGCTGCCAGGTACGCTGTCACATGATGGATATCAAGCATGTGCGAGATTTATTTTGACAACATGCTGTATATTATTGTTGGTTTTGCAAGGTCACTGGATATGGCTAGTGTTATTCCCACAACCCCGCCTCCTCTCTATTCCCGTCAAGATTCTTGTCACGATGATGACATCTATGATGGTGGTGCATTGGATTCGGATTACGATGATTCAGACACTGGGTCAGCAGAATGGTACGAGGACATGGACAATCTTGAAGATGTTGTGGATGCCGAGATTCCAAGCGAGAGCGACACGGAGACGAGTGATGAACTGTCACTAGATGCGCCTCCAACTGGCGATTCACCGAGCTCTACACCTGCAGTTGGCGCAGCTTCTACAACAAACCGTCGCGGGGGACAGCGGCCTCCACGAAGTAAGGAGGAGGCCGAACGCTGGAAGGGCATCATTGACAATTGGCGCATCGTAGAAGAGTCTGATATATCTAATATAATAGATACAAAGCTCGCTACAACTTCTTGAGAGGAACATCTATTCTGTGGGGACCATTCAAACTAACCGGTTTCATCGCTCAGTTGCAAGCCCAGCTACTACAAGTGGGGTCAGCCGAATTTGCAAACACGGTAAGTAAGGTGCTTATTCTGCTTGCTTTTCTCCTTGCTAACTATTACTGTATGTGGCCACAGATGTACTCACCTCGACCAGTTACACCCCTGCATGGCGACGCTCCACCGTCCACCCACCAGCTTAAAATGGACGACGAGTGGGTGGAGGTGAATGGAATTCGAAAGCGACGTCAACGGCAGTGCAAGGTATGTACTATACGGAAAACAAGCAGTACACAGCGGCAGGTGACGCGATTCTACTGTCCTGGCTGCTGTAAAGGCTCAAAACGGTACGTTGCTATGCTCTATGTTTCTTACTACTCCTATTTAACACGTATAATGCAGTGTCTACTTGTGTGACAAGGTGCGCCAAGGACATTACCCCAGTAACAACCAGACTTGCTTCTCCATTTGGCACCAACTTTGGCGCAATGGAAGCGAGCGCCCACAGCCGCGGCACGGCCGCGGTATCCAGCTGAGGGCCCCACCAAAAAAGCGGGTGGAAGAACAAGAGGGTCGTGAAGAGGAGGGGGGCGGTGGGGACGAGGAGGAGGCCGCAGGCCTCGGCAATGAGGGAAGTGATGGTGGTGAACATTCTGATTGTGATCAGAACGAGACAACGGAAACTGGTGGTGACGACAGACAGCAGCAAGAGTAGGAAACAGTGAAACAGCGTAGGTAATAGCCCAAATGACTTGCTTTTAGCAAACAGATGCGATACACAAATTTGCTTTCGTAGCCGTTCTGCACGTGACTCCGTCAAAAACGATTCATTCCCAATAAAAGAGCCATTTGCACATGCATGATGTCGCGTATGGGCTTTACGGATTTTACTCACCCTGCTCGATATAAAGCATGTGGGGTCATAATACGTACGATTGCAGGATCTTGTACAAATATACAGACACCGATCTTTTTTTTCTATACAAATTTTACGTTAATACTTTTTTCACATGCTTGATATCAAGCATGTGAAAAATAGTCTGTGCATTCAAGATTTGCTCTCGTAACGGAGGGGTTAAGACGAGAAACTCCGAGGTCATTGCAGCGCCCATGGCTATCTCCGGCGCCATCAACGGTGTCTTCTGGTCAATTTACGGAATAATGGTGACGGATTACTATGTCATCGTGCCAAACGTCATCAGCGGGTGTTTGTGCTTCGTACAAGTGTTTTTGATCGTCATTTTTCCACGTAAGAGCGAAGACGACAAATCGCTCAAGTTCTTGGAGAGCCGATCCGTTAGCGAAGTGTAGAAAAGCAGATAACCAGATAGCTAATACGTATGCGATTTCCCATTTAGTTTCTCGCTCTATTTTATTAAGGCCAGCTAGAATGCAATGTAGTATCAATTTACGGTAGGAGCTGCTGATGCATGAGTACTTGCTCGCAGTCACAGCTCACCCGAAACTTCTACCGCTGTACTTCTAAGTAGTATTTTCATGTGCGTGCGTTTTACTTTTTTTTAAGGTTCTCGCTTCGTTCGCGTTGGATTCGCCGTGCTAAGCGTGCGACTTGGGAGACATTGTACCTCAACCAGCAGACATAGTTTAGCAAGAAACAAAGATGGAATGGTGTTTTGACAAATTATAGTGATGCAAAAAAATGGCCGGAACTGTATTACAATTAAAAGGAGAGATTGCCTGAAAGCCTAAAAGCTAGATATTGCAATACTCAACTGGGTAGAACCGGCACTACTCGACTGCAGCACCGATCTACCGGAGTCGTTGCAACCCTCTTTTATTATCCTCCCTGTACACTGCAGCTACTGCAACATACTTCCATCCATCAACCATAATAGCGAGAAGCTCGTCCATAATCAGGAACGAGCGCATCCGATATATTTTCAGCAGGACGACCGAGGCTACCAAAAGCGCCGCAGCTCCGACGATCGGCTTAGTTTAAGATTTTTCATCTTTAAAAATGACTAATCGGAAATATTGGAAGAAATTGGAGGATGAAGCTAATCCGAAATCGCGCGTGTTACTATTATTTCAGGAACATTTCTTATTTGCGCTACCAGCCCAAAACATATAGTTTATGACTTATTTTTGTGATCTTTTCCTTGGATCTAACTAACCGACCACGGTCAGACAAACGAACATAAACCGCCGAATAAGCGAGCCTGAAAACCTTTCCAGGACCGTGGTTCTAAGGCTAAATTGACTCACTTGCGATTAACTTAAATTAAGCGAGAGGCAGGTTCATTTTCTCGATCTATGATTCGCTAAAAAACGGTCTGATTCGACCTTTATGAGAGTGATTTCATTAAACGTATCCTACCACGAAGCGCAACCACGAAGCACTTCCTTACTTAGACGAGTACGCTCGAGCTTGAACATGCATTCTTGCCTCATCTTCCATCCAGAGTGACCAAGCGTCAACTATCGGAGCTATCGATACGGCGACGGAGGCCACTGTTGGTGTCTTGGTCACTGGTACTACAATACCGATAGGACAGTGCTGGCGGCTGGTAATGCTCATTTTTCTTTAAAAAAAATTTTAAACAACGCTTTGTCACAACCCTTTTCGATTAGTGAAAAATATCCACTTGAACGAATCAAACGGAATTTTATTTGTAGCAATCGAAATTGAAGTTGAAGTTGACGTGCTTGGTGGTTACTATACTGCCACTTCGATGTAATCATTCCCCTACAGCTCGCACGATACCTATGTTGCAGCTATTATAGTGTTATGCTTTCCGGCTATGTTAAAATTCTCGGTGGACTGAA